ATTTTACCAAAAGAGATGTCTGTTATTTGACTGTGGTTCTCAGGAGGTAAACTCTAAAACCACTAGAGTTTCCCAAGTGATTGCAGTCTCATTTTTCATGGTGAGCCCCTTGGACTGTATCTGTTTATGGTAATGAGATGGTTCATGGTCAGACCCACAATAGTTTATGCTAATAAGATGACTGTATATGGGGGGCTACTCATCCCAGAAGGGCTGATCCTGTGATTAGAGGTTGGGAGCTTTGAGTGATGTTATATCAACCTGACCATCAGCAAGGATAGGATGTCTACAGATTGTGTTCAATCAAATGGTCAATGGTTCAATCAGTCATGCCTGTACAATGAAGCCCCATTAAAAACTCACACCAAAGCTCAAGTGAGCTTCCTTGATTGACAATATTCCACATACATCAATGTGCCTGGTGGGAGACACATTCCTGGTGACACAGAAGCTTAAAAATCGGGCCTGTCTCAGATCTTGCCTAGTGATTTTTCTATAGACTGGTTCTGATTTGTATCATTTTGCTATAATAAAACTGCATATCAGTATACAAATCTTATATAAATCATAAATATAGTGCTTTGACTGAGTTCTGTGAGTCATTCTAGCAAATTATCAAATCTGAGGTGGTAGTGGAAGCCCCTGAATATTTAGCCATCTGATCAGAAGTGACAGTAACCCTTGAGAATCCATGAACCTATGACTAATGTCTGAAGTGAAGATAGTCTTTTGAAGAACTGTGGCCTTAACCAACGAAATTTGGCCTAACTCCAAGTAGTTAGTATCAGAAGTCATTTATGCAGTGTTGGAGACTTAAAGAGTGAAGAAGTTTCATTACGTAGTCATCTCAGAAAGTGGGAAAGAAAACTTACTGGGGGAATTAAGGGCAGAATTGAAGAGCCATTTGCTGTTGTTTGGTGCCATCAAGTCAGTTCCAATCTAGGTACAACAGAATGAAACACTGCAGGGTCCAGTGCCATTCTCCCAATCTTTGCTATTCTTCAGGCCATCATCGCAGGCACTGTACCAATTTCTCTTGGTGAGTGTCTTCCCCTTTATTGCTGACCCTTCTTTTACCAAGCATGATATCTTTCTCCCGGTGCAGGTCCCTTATGAGAACATAACCAAAATATGTGAGATGAACTCTGGCAATTCTTGTTCCTAAGAAGCATTCCAACTGAACTTCTTCCAAGACAGATTTGTTTTTCTTCCAGTAGTCCATGATATTTTCAGTATTCTTTACCAACACCATAATTCAAATACGTCAATTCTTCTTCAGTCTTCCTTATTCATTGTCCAGCTTTCACATGCTTATACAGCTATTGAAAATACCATAGCTTGGGTCAGGCACACCGTAGTCTTCAAAATGACACCTTTGCTTTTAAGACTTTACAGAGGTCTCTAGCAGCAGATTTGTTCAATGTAATACATATTTTTTTGATTTCTTGACTGGGCTTCCATGGGTGTTGATTGTGAATCCAAGTAAAATGAAATCTCTGACAACTTTTCTCCATTTATTATGATGTTGTTTGTTGGCCCAGTTGTGAGGATTTTTGTTTTCTTTTTGTTGAAGTGTTATCCATATTAAAGCTATAATCTTGACCTTTATCAGTAAGTGCTTCAAGTCATCTTCATTGTCAGCAAGAAGTTGTGTCATCTGCATATCACAGGTTGTTCATGAGTCTTCCTCCAATCCTGATGTCAAGTTCACTTCATATAGTCCAGTTTCCCAGATTACTTGCTCACCATACAGATTGAATAATTACAGTGACAGTATACAACACTGACACACACCCTTTCTGATTTTAAACCATTCAGTATCCCCTTGTTTTGTTCTGACAAATGCCTCTTGTTCTATGTACAGATTCCTCATGAGCACAATTAACTACTCTGGAAATCCCCTTCTTCACAATTTTAACCATAATTTCTTATGATCCACACTGTTCAATGCCTTTATATAGGCAATAAAGCACAGGTAAACATCTTTTTGGTTTTGTTTGCTTTCAACCAAGATCCATCTCATATAGGCAATGATATCCCTAATTCCACAAGCTCTTCTGAATGTGGCTTGAATTTCTGGCATTTCCCTGTCAATATACTGCTAGAATCATTTTTAAATTATTTTCTGCAAAAATTTTACTTCTGTGTAATATTGTTTGATAATTTCCACATTCTGTTGGATCATCTTTCTTTTCAGTGAGTACAAATATGGTTCTTTTGCATTATATTGGCCAACTTGCTGTTTTCCAAGCCTATGCACTGTACCCATTTGTTGAAACATCTCAATGGATATTCCATCAATTCCTGGAACCTTGTTTTCCACCAATTCCTTCAGTGCAGCTTGGACTTCCTTCAATCTAGGAAGGTCATTGGTCATATGCTACCTTATGAAATAGTTGAACATTGACCAATTCTCTTTGGTACAGTGACTCTTTGTATTTCTTCCAACTTCTTTTGATTATTCCTGCATCATTCAATATTTTGCCCTTAGAATTCTTCAAAATTACAACTTGAGACTTGAATTTTTTCTTCAGTTCCTTTAGCTTGAGAAATACCGAGTGTGTCCTTCCCTTTTGGTGTTCTAATTCCAGTTCTTTACACATTCATTACAATACTTTACTTTGTCTTCTTGAGCTGCCCTTGGAAATCTGTTCATCTCTTTTATTTCATAATTTCTTCGATTTGCTTTAAGTACTCTCTGCTCAAGAGCAAGGTTTAAAGTCTCTTCTGACATCCATTTAGGTCTTTTCTTCCTTTATTGTCTTTTTAATGACCTTTTGCTTTCTCCATGTATGATGTTTTTGATGTCATCCCACAATTCATCTGGTTTTCAGTCATTGGTATTAAATGTGTCAAATCTATCCTTCAGATGGTCTCTAAGTTCAGATGTGATATAATAAATGTAGTATTTTGCCTCTCATGGATTTGTTTTAATTCTCTTCACCTTCAACTTGAAGTTGCATATTTGCAATTGATGCAATTCCTGGTCTTACTCTGATGGATAATACTGAGCTTCTCCATCACCTCTTTCCACAGATGCAGTTGATTTGATTCTTGTGTATTCCCTCTGATGAAGTCCACATATATTAAAAAAAAAAAAAAAGGAAGAAACTCACTGCTATTGAGTTGTTTCCAACTTCTAGCCACCCCCATTGGGTTTCCAAAGCTTTAAATCTTTATGGAAGTAGATCACTTCATCTTCCTTCTCCAGAGGCGCTGGTGGATTTGAACTGCTGACCTTCCATTAGTAGTCAAGTGTCTTATCCACTACTCCACCAGAGCTCTTTCTAGTGTGTGTATAGCCACCATTTATGTTGTTGAAAAAAGGTATTTGCAATGAATAAGTCATTGATCTTATAAAATTCTATCATGTGGTCTCTGGCATCATTTCTTTCACCAAGACCATATTTTCCAACTACCGATACTTCATCTTTGTTTCCAACTTTTGCATTCCAATCACCAGTAATTATCAATACTTCTTGATTGCAGCCATTGAAGAAGCCGTTTAAGATATGCTAGTATAAGTAATGTGAAACAAGTAGTCATGCCTAGAGAACAAGTGGCAGCAATATTGGAAATATATGCAAGCAAGAAATAATAATAAGGACATACATTTTATTTCAATAAAATGTATTTAAAAAAATAATAATAAGGAAAAAAAGGTTGGAATAATTGCACAACTCAAAGAATATAACCCATGTCATTGAGTTATACATGTAGAAATTG